CGGCCGCCGCCGTCGTCGGCGCCGCCCTGCCCTTCTTCGCCATCCTCTTCGGCGAGGTCTACAGGGTAAGCCCTCTTTCCATCCTCTCCAATTTATTCCCTCTCGCCTGGAGTAGCAATATTTTCATTTGAATATATTATGTTAACAAGTCGATGGTACCTAAATATAGCTTCGTTCGAAGAACAAAGAGTAATACTAATATAATTTTTGTGCTTTCGTATTATTTGGGACCTTATTAGAATGAAGATATGGAAAGTAATATAAACCATGTGTAAACTAGAGATGCTACTACAGCACATACTACCCCACATTATTGGAAATAGTTACGTAATATTGAAATATATAATTGTTTTTAGTATGGCAGAAATTTCTCAGTTAAAATTTGAAAAATTCCAATTCAACCAATTCAAAAGAAGCGCTTGAGGGGCATATATATGTTCATTTCGATAGCCAGGGACAGTAATTATTTCCAAATTAGATGAAATTAAAATGAATAAATTTAAAAGTAACAGTACTTGCACCCCACTCTACAAAAAAGAAATCATAATTTTTCGCATAAGCTTGCGATGATAACAGGGACGACGTAACAATTTCTGAATACCGTTATCAGAAATCAAAACTTCTTAAATAAAAGAAATGTGTTTGTTAGTTCTGCGTTAAATAACGCTTTTATTAGTGTTCTAAGAACCTAAAGCAAGTATAACCGGCAACCGATTCGGTGCACGGTACGAAGCCTGGCTTACAGAACCCAGCCCGGTTACGATTATTCGCTACAGATACCGTGGTTGGTGTTCCAGGCGTCACGTGCCAATAATCTGGTTCTCTTATCTCTAAGTGTGGATGTGCGAAAATTCTCTTAAGCGTTCGTTAAGCTATTCGAGGTCAAAATGGAATGCAAAAAATTAGTGCAATGTTTTTGAAAATTTTGAAAAGGTCCCAGAGTCTTTTATATCCAAAATTAGTTTGTAAGAAACATGAATTATTAAATTATTATTATTATTATTATTATATTTTGTTTCATTTTCAAAGTTTTTTGGTTTACATGGATTACCAAACAGATTACAATTTAAAGCATGGTAATACAGAAATATTTTAAAATCTACAAAACAAAATTAAGGCATTCTAACACTAAACATAAAATAACTGTTTTTCACGATGTAACAATAAAATACAAGTTTTTAATGCCTAATAACTAATACAATTTCAAGAATTGGCATTCAAAACACATGTCTCCCATGAATCTCCTGACTATGAGCCAGACTCGACTTCTGGAGGCGATCGATAATGCTTTCTCCTAGCAGAGTTCTTCCAAAGATCTGCAGAGAAGTTTTTGGTATCACGCCAGTTGCTGACAGTCCAATTTGGATAGTTTTTCACATCTGGGCACTACGCCATTGTTCTTTTGGGCAATTACTATTCTCTGTATTTGATCGATTTTAGTCTTGGTATGTTGATCATCATGTTGATGGTATTGACGACTGCAAAATGCAATAAACAAACTTTCTTTGAGGATATTGTCCAAAGAGTAATGTCAGAGTCTTTTTGTGCTGCAATTCCCTGTAGGTATAACTGCGGTTCAGTATAACTTATGTGTCCTCATTTTGCTAAGTACCCGCTTTTTGATGATATGGTAGTATGGTGCGTCATTTCTGAGGTAGCCTGTGTTTTATTTAGCTAGTTAGGGAACATGAATGATGTGGCTACTTGATGGTAGTATCACTTTATAGTCAATTGGGAGTTAATCATTTATTATTATTATTATTATTATTATGTATTATTATTATTATATTATTATTATTAATTATTATTATTATTATTAATTATATTAATTATTATTTTATTATATATTATTATTATTATATTATTATTATATTATTATTATTATTATTATTATTATAATATTATCATTATCATTATCATTATCATTATTATTAATTGTCTATTGTTTGTTGTTAAGAAGGGCTGCTGTGGATGACTGAAGGTTTGTGCGCGCGCATGCGCAGGAGCTGTCGCTGCAGGAGCCGAGGAGGTGCGCGCGGCGGACGGCGCTGTTTCGCGGGCCTGTTCCTGGTGGTGGGCGTGATGGCGGGCCGGCGGCCCTCGGTGCAGATTGCACATGCTGGGGACGTGGCCGCACGACGGCTGACGTCGGCCTGCGCCGCGAGGCCTTCGCCGCGTGCTGGCCGCCAGGAGGGCGGCCTTCTTAGACGAGGAGCGCCACGGCGTGGGCGTGCTGTGCGCGCGCCTCGCCGGCGACGCCGCCTCCGTGCAGGGGGTGAGCTATAGCCTCTGCGCCGCGCCGCCCGCACTAGCTCTCAATCGTGGGGCGCATTTTATTCAAATGTCGTTTTTTCTCTTGTCTTTAGAACAATGCCTTTTAGAATTGATATTAATTTTATTTTATGACAAAAATTACTTACTTTATACATTTTTCTACGATTTCGATCAATAAGTCAATCTTTAAAAACTTATTTTAAAAAGTTATTATTAAAGCATTTTCGCTAATTTTATTCATTTTGAGATTTTAATGGTACTTTCTTCAAAGAAAATTTACGAGATGCAACAAATGTTCTGCACAGAATTCAGGAGTATCCTATTCCAAATCTTCGCTCAGAAATTGTAATGCTAGCGTCTCTGAGTACGTAATCTAAGAGCTCTACAACGCGCTATCAGTGCCATTGTCGTTTCGGCCTATTTTGCGATAATTAAAGACAGAAATTTCCTGAGAAAGAACGAAAGGAAGAAGCCTCGATTCCATCAGTAACATATCCAGCTGCTTGAGTTGTTCATCTGAACTGATTTTTGATAAAATTTTGTTATATTGTAGGGCTCTTTAAAAACGATTTAAGAGTATTTTATTGATAATTTTTGGATGTTTTAGGTCATCAAAATCCAATCAGATTGACCGTACTCCGAGCTTTATCCGATGGGAATATCCCCTGTCGATTTTGGCTGTTCTTCGCGTAGGCGCCCGAGGTCACGTGGATTCCGTTACTAGTTCGCGGCGATAGGTGCCCTACCCTGCGCGTGAAGCGTGGGCGGCCATCGCGGTGCCATCCCCTGTTGCCGCGTCATGTCTCCGGAAAGTGGGATTCTCCTAAATGTGGGTGCGGTGCGTCGGCGGCGGCTCTTCCGATGACTCACGCACACCTGCCCGCTCGCTCTCAATGCTCCCTCATGCCTGCAGGGGATGAAGTGCCGAAGAGTAGTTGTCTGCCACTTTCCTGTGTCTATAATTTCGGTGAACTTCGAATGCTACGCGAAATATGGTTTAGAGTTTTAATTGAATTCCAACGTACGCGACTGTCCCATTACAGTGTATATACATGAATTATTAGCGACTCTAGAGAGGTCACTTTGCAAACACCCGTTCGAAAATAAACACCAACCTAGAGGCAGAGAGTGGGAAGGAGGGGAGCGAGGGGGGAAGTGGCTCCGTCGATGCCCCGTGCGATTGCCTGGCCACGACGCCCTGAATCCAGTTCGTTGGGACGGGGATGCAAAATAAATGTCTTTGTTTTAAATACATCGATGTTTTTGTTACAAATAATCGAAAATGTTTGCATTTTTAAATATCGATCAACTATTCAGCTTTCAGCATCAGCATTAGAAATTTATTTTTAAAAAAAATGGGTCAATGTAGAGTCAAATTAACATGGGAGAGATCGCTTTATGACTCGCCTTAAAACATCTTTGGTTTTCGATCGATTATTTAACTTGGATCAGCAGTATCTTGAAACAAGGATGATTTTTTGTTGTCGAGACCGCATACCTGCTGGGCAGGCTGTATCTGAGTGGCGCGGGGCTCGCGTTGCAGGCGACGGGGTCGCGCATCGGCTCCATCCTGCAGGCCATCTCCACGCTGGTGATCGGCGTGCTGCTGGCGCTCTACTACTCGTGGAAGCTGACGCTGGTGTCGGTGCTGGGCGTGCCGCTGGTGTTCGCCGGCGTGTTCCTGGAGGCGCGCGTGCTGCGCAGCCAGGGGCTGCACGAGAAGGAGGCCCTCGAGAGCGCCTCCAAGGTGAGGCGGCTCTTTCTGCATTGCACACAATCGGATTGCTCCGTGGGCTAATTCGTGCTTCCGAGTGCAGAGACAGTAATTCCCTCTGCTTAATTGCAACTTCTCTGTTCTTTCAAAGTTGAATTGAATATTGTATACTATGAAAGAATTGGGGTTCTTAAATAGATACGTGTAGACAGATAAATCTTGGAATAATAATTTATTTTGTGAGACTTATTCCGCAACAGTTTCAGGGACTGCTGTCCCATCATCATGTTGTGAAATTAAATGATCAAAATATATACTAAAAAGGTTTTAAATTATTTAATATACAGTAAAGAAATGGAGTAATTGTTAGAAGTTAGAACTTACCAGACACACTAGAACTCACAAAACGAATAACAGAATGTTAGTATAAAAACATAATGATGAAGAATAATGTCATGAGATGGACGTCGAGTAAGCTATGTTATTGACGGGGTTGCCAGATGCTTCTTACAAACATTCGCCGTTAGATGGACGTAAATCTGCCCAATTGCACCCAATAAGAAAAATTCACCATTCCAAACGGGAAATTTAAATTTGCATTAAAATAATTGTATTAGAAGTTGTTTTGAGATAGCGACCCTTTGTAATGCTTGATTAGTTTTGTTTTTTGTTTGTGAACAATGTAATTAATAATAATACTGTATTTATGTAAAAAATGTACTTGAGTCATATCTTAATATTTAAAAAATATTTATGACTATTCTTATGATTACACCAGATGGAAGGAATGCTTAAAGGGATAAAGTAATTTCCCTCCTTTCCCATTTTCTTTCTTATTGTTCCTCTTAAACATACGCGCTTAAAAAGATTACTACAGAAAGGCTTACATATGCATGCTTATTCCCTATGGATTTACGTAAAATGCTGGCTGTAAAACCGCACTTCCAAAAGAAAATTTTAAATGGCGTGTTCTAAAATTAACTCCATGATAAAAAATTAATTTCCAATCCAAGTTTTAAAAAATCCATCTTGGTCTGTGAACCATTGTTAGGCGTTGAGCGCTTGCTATGGAATAATCCTCCGTTATTATCTTCGTAAGTGCTAATTTGTATTATACTCATGTTGTGCTCGACAAAGACACTATGACTTTTAGAACACAGCCTATTTTAGATGTTTAAAAACTAACATTACTCACTTCTCAAAGTAAATTTGAACGAATTTACAAATGATGAATGAAAAATCATGTATAATATAAAAAACAAAAAATTCAAACACACTGGCAAAATCATTGTTGTTGTTTCTTGAAAATTTCTTCGTTATCTTAAGCTGCACATGTTTTGAAACGGTATTCTGCAAAACCAATTTTTGTCCCGCGAGAGAGAGAGCCGTTGTCCAGTCCAAAAAGTGGAATTCCGCACAATCTGACAACCCTGCTTATTGTGAGAAAGAATGAGATGTGTGGGAGTGAGGCAAGATAAGGCAAGGAAGGGGTGGGGAAGAAAAGGGGCAGGGTAAGAAAGTGGAGGATAAATGGGGGAACTATGTTTTCCATGTTCGACATATGTAGCAAAGCATCATGCAATTTATTAAAATGATTGTTGTTGACAGTAGCATTAATATAATTATTAGTTTTGATCTCTAAAGTAACTAAATGTGGGTACTTCCAAGGATTTTTATATTTTGAAAATTGAATGAATGGTTGAACACAATAAGATGATTGGTTATAAAGTTTTGTTCTTGAGAAACTTCTCTGATGTTCTGTTATTTCATTCTCGTTAGAACGTTACGGTTCCCCCAAACCTTTATTTCTGTTGAAACCTCGTTATCAATTTTCCGCACTAACACATAACTTCGTATGTACATTTGTGTACGGGAAAGTAAAAAGCTCTCAGTTATGGGGTGTCCAATGCCTTTAATTCTGTGGGTCGGAGGTATTGGACAGTGTGTCACGTTTACTAAATTTTACAGAAGAGCTGTTTGAATGTTTGCATACCTCTAAGTGCAAGTGGACTTGGTATTATTTTATAGCACCGTAACTCCGCCATTATTAGATGTAGGACATGGTGTAGTATACCTCTGGATAGAGGACAAAAAGCTCATATTATTGCACCAATAATCTAAATTTGGCCCAAAATGGACATAGTGTCCTATACCTCCGACCCACAGATACTTGTAGAAATCACCTCTAACGTCAATAAATTCTCGGCTATCCGGGAGACGCCGCGTCGTTGGCTGGGGTGCCGACGTTTCGCCTGACATGTCGCGGCTTCCTCAGGGCAGTGACACTGCCGGCGCTACGCGCCGCCGCGCGGCGTCTCCCGGATAGCCGAGATTTATAGATTCGAGCTTACCACGTGAAGCTTAGGTATACCCTCCACCGTCGGCATGTGTTGGTTGCGCAGGTGGCGGTGGAGGTGATCGCCAACATCCGCACGGTGGCGTCGCTGGGCGGCGAGCGCGCGCTTCCTGCGGCGCTACGGCGACGCGCTGGCGGCGGCCGAGGCGGCCGCCGCGCCAGATGCGCTGGCGGGGCGTCGTCTTCGCCATGGCCAGTGCTCGCCCTTCCTCGCCTACGCGCTCACCTTCTACTACGGCGGCTTCTCGCCGCCGACGGAGGGCTCTCCTACGAGAAGATCATCAAGTGAGCAGCGCGCTCCGTCGCTTTTTTTTACAAATTAATTTAACACAATGATTTGATGCTTCTTGATTGACGCAACGTGTCTGTGAACCCTTGTTGGACGTTGCAATTCTCTATCAAAACAGGGGACAAAGCTGTTGTTGTTGTTAGCCAACGCCAATCCTTAGCATGTTGGCCATTTGGTGACGCGCCGGCCAGAATAGACGCGCAGACTTTCCCCTAAGCTTGTAGGGATCCGCACGCCCACAATGGCAAGGCGTAGGTGGCGACTCAGTCTCGCGCATTTTTGCGTTACCCAGGGGACACGTGTGGTAGACCAGGGACGCGAGCAACTGTGTTTTCCGGGCTGTGAATTATATTAGTTATGAATTATTATGATAAATTAGATTATTTATTATTATTATTATAGTATAGTATTATTATTGCGACTGAGTAGGTGAAGGAATATTGGTGAAAGATGTTCGTGAACTTTTAAAATCATCTCAGCATTCGCCTTATCACCCACGGAAACCACGTAAACCCCGGTCATGATGGCCGGCCCGGGAATCGAACCCGGACCTCCCGATTGCAAAGTCTACGCACTGACCCATTTCGCTCGGTACACAGGAGACAAAACTTGAAGGTACTCCTTTAGGAGGCGCTACTGTCGCCGGGTACAGCTGCAGGTTAGGCTCGCCAAATTCAGCACATACATATTGTCTAATTTGTGAGAAATAGGAAAAGTGTATTTTAAATGTTCAATTATTCATAATATACACACATAAGGAATCCCCGAAGAAAGTGTGAACATCGGAGTTATCTTTTGTAACATTGTGGACCTGCTTGCGACCCGCAAACTCAAGCAGCAGCCACACACGTTTTAAGTATCGTTGACATCAGTTCGTGTTTTAGTTCCTGTAAGAAGGTGCTGCAGAAGAGCGCGCCACCTCAATGGTTTCCACCACGTTATATGGGAGTTATAAGGCCCTGGTTGAGCGCTTGCCATGGAATAATCCTCCGTTATTATGTTCGTCTCGTTACGTCGCAGTCTGTCAGTGTCTTTAATCCCCTGGCCAGGATCACAGCGTCGTTTGATCACGGGGTTCCTAGACGGTCACTCAACCAGCAACCGGCCAGATCTCGAATTCGCTTACCCTCCGTGACTTCGCGGAGCGTATTAACGAACGCGGCTAGCGAAGGTGAATTCCCGATCGTTCTCGATGTTTCTCCACCTTTCTCGCGCTGAGTATGGGGGCTTTACCTCTCACTTACCTGCAGGCTTTAAAAACTTTTGTCCACCGTCACGATGTGGATTTATAATCTTTAGAGCAGGTTCCTCCAACATACACTCTTAACTAGTCTTTATTAAGCGAGTCGTTAAAATTAACGTACCAGTTTAGATTTGTTCTGTTTTACCAAAGTTTCCGCCTCCTCGGTACGTTAATCATAAGACTTTTTTAATAAATGAATAGGATGCTTAAAATTCGTACTCTGGCGGCAGTGAAATGATGGCATTATGGTAAACATATGCTTTCTCTCAGACAAAACATACGAGGTAGCAAAAAATCATCTTACTTTTAATGAAGTTAGAATCTTTTTATACAAACGTACTTCAATTGATATCAAACTGATTCAGATTTCTTTAAAAAAGAGTAAAACACTGATATAAAGAAATAGGTACTTTGAGTAGATGTTTAATTCTAAAAAAGTCTGTTAAATTTTGTGTAAATAAATCAACATACCTCACATTTTGAAAGCAATACTATTTTTTGCTGAAATATTGAGAGAACATTTACAAAATAATGATTTGTTTTTCACAGATAAAGAGGTGAATCTTGGCTCTTCGAAAGAGAAACAAGTTTGGATTTATTACAGCGCTATCTTCATTGATTAGTAAATATTTTGAAACCAAGTTGCCAAATTTTTTTGCAAGATCCGAATGTGCAATAAACGCGAGTGTTTCCATTTAACTCTTTAAAGTTATAGAGTTTTCTCCATTTTATCATATGAAACGCGTATGTTCGCATTTCAACTAAAACACTGCATAACCAGGAGTTAAAACTTGTTTCTAACGACCGTTCACAATTTTAAATATCTATACTGATGCAAATTAAATTTATTACGTAATAAACATGCAATATTTACTTATTATAAGAATTAACACACACTTAACAGTTAATTCAGTGTTGACGTACGTTGCTGTTTGGTAAATACCCTTTAATTAAATCACCCTTAATTGAATTTGAATAAATCAACCATTTTCTTACCAACTCAACTGTGTCACTGGTTTGATCTTTGCCAACAATGAGTGGCTACCACTAATCGAAAAAAACTTTGATTTATTAGCGTATTTCGAGACAGATTTTTCCAACTTTCTATTTTTTTTCGCATGTCGAACGCAGTCTCAGAATTGATTTGCATTTTCAGAAGTGATTTTAACTTAAAATTTTCCTAGGATGGTGTATCTACGAGACAAAGGTTCGCAGCCAAGCCAAGGAGTTACTTCAGTAAACATGATTCGCACTGCACAGTGCTTTTGATTAACGATTCCCTAACCAGGTGTTTCCCACCGCCCCAGCCGGGACAAGCTCTAAGCTCCCGACCGGTCTTCCGGCATCTGTGGTAGTGTAGTTCATGTAAGTATGTGTAAGGGGAGAGGATAGAATAAGGAAGGGGAAGGAAAGATCGCGAGCGGTTCGTGGTCCGTTAGGGTACTGCTCAGGCATTCGGCTGGTGTTGATAGGAGAAACCACGGAAAGCTACCGATCGGAGCAGCCGGCCGCTAGAATTCTTCTGCAGATAGCGGCCGAATTCGTCCTAGCTCACATGATAGTGTCAAAGAAATTCTGCCAACTTCGTGACTCGAACCTAGAACCCCCGGGTCAGAGGTACGGCAGTGACATCAGTTGATGCCCTGAGCCACCTCTCTCTTTCATACGAGATTTTCAAGTCTCTCCTTCATGGCGCATCCTCCTATAAGCAAGAAATCAACCCTGTTGAAACTCTTTGCCAGGGTGTCCGAGGCTCTGCTATTCGGCGCGTGGATGCTGGGCCAGACGCTGGCGTTGGCTCCCAGCTTCAGCGCCGCCAAGTTGGCAGCGGGGCGTCTGTTCGCGCTGCTCGACCGCCAACCGGCCATCGACTCCGGCGCAGAGGACGCTCCGCTCTCGGTGAGACATTTTCGGAATCTCATGTTTGGCCTCTTGCTAATTTTTAAAACATGCAAAATGGAAGGAATAAGGTGAATTTCATGAATAAAAATCTTGCAAATTCAACGTGTTTATTTGAGTAAATTTTATTTCTTTACAATACTTTACTATCACATTTGGTAAATAAAATAAATAAAAAGGATAAAAAATCAATAAGAATTTAAACCTAGGCAACCAATTCTAATCGAATATTAACTTCAATAAATCCAATCGATGGTAATAAATAAAACGATAACAGTCCCTAATTTCTTAGAAATTACGAATTAACAATACATATAAATACGTAGCTTTGGCATTTTGAAAATAACTTATGAAATAAGAGAAAATCCTGAATGTTCAAAACACTATGGGTTTTCGTTTAGAAATAAATCTTAGCTTTCTACTCAACCAAATTTTGTCATTTTTGCATCAAATGATAGGTCCCCAGATATTTTATCGTTTCTTACTATTACTCAGTTTTATAGCATAAGTACTAAATTTTAATAAAATCGTAAAATTAATAATAGAATGAGATTATCTTTCATCATTTGTTCTTTGCATATTTTGGTTATGTCCAGATACTCTTCAGTAAAGTCTTAGTCTAGGGCGTGTGTAAGTGAGATATAGTTAACGAAGCAAAGATAACGAGTATTAGAGTTTCAAGGTATTTTAAGTTATAACTATTTTAAATTTAGGTGGATAACAGGATTTCCTGTGACAGTCCACTATAACACACTACGTATCCAGATATTGGTAAACATGTTTCTCAAATGTCATTGAAATGTTTTATGTCTTCGTAGAGAATAGTGTTTTTATTGTTTCAGAATTTGTAAGCCTCCCTAATTACATTAGTCACAAGTACTGAAATGTACAGGTGCACAAATGTACAAATGTAAAGGTGAAATGTGCAAATGTACGGGAAATGTACAAGTGCACATGAAACAATATAATGAGGAAGTTTCAATTTTCCGTATGAAGCGTATGTTGTACTATCCCATTGAACTTTTCTTCGGTACTTCCTATTGGGTATTGTGATTTCACAAAATGACGTTCTACAGCCCTGATTTCTATTTCCATTTTCCCCCCTTGCCTCATGACGCGTTTCTCTCTTCAATTTTTGTTTAAGTTTCATGCCTTGTCATCAATTTAAAATACGCCACAAGTGATGTCCAAGAAATACCTTTTTGATACAATTTTCATCGTGTTTTCATGTAATCTGCGCTAATAAGGGGGGAAAATGTTCTCAAAGCAGACTGAGAGCGAATTGGTAAAGTATTTTATTTTATATATTGACTATTTCAGAGCCAGCGTAAACTCAGGGGCCGCTAATAAGTGTGAAGAATCGATTCTAAGTAATTGATAGCGTTTTTGACTCGCGTAGCCGCGCGCGGACTCCAAAGGAATTTATTTTAATTTTTCTTTTTGACATCTTTGACCTTAGAAATAATTTAGTTTAATACCTTCATACAAATAGAAATTTTAAACAATTCTGTCGTTTTGGTTTCGCCAGTGCAGTGATCTCAGAGTTATTAGCGATTGCAGGCTCCCAGCTAGGCATGACTACTCGGGTTACATTTTTGCCCCAGAATGTTTTTGTAAGGAAAAGTACGGATACGCCAGGAAAATGAATAAAACGTATAAAATTGTAGGTGTTCTTTATCGTTTCCGTTAATTTTTGAAATCTCGTTTGATTTGCTAAAATGTTTTTGCTTAACAAGTCACAAAAATTTTACATAAAATTTCAAACCTTTCTCACAACCTACAAGTTAAAAAATTAGTCTTCCTATGTTATTAACGTTTCATAAAAATATTTATAACATTTTTTTAAGGAGTTTCCTTTTATACCTACGCTTATTTGACTTACCTGCAAAGACTTTCTTCTTCTTCCGCTACGTGCGGACTTAACAGTTTGCATCATGCAACTATCGGCGATTCAAAATAGGTTTAACATTGCTGTTTGTCCATTCTTTCATCTTTGTAAGTTGCCCCGCGTGCATCCCCCGATGCTTTCGCCAAGAGCGCCATTGCATCGCGTCCTGTCGTTTGTGCGAGGCAGGAGGCGGCGGGGCGCGTGGAGTACGACGGCGTGGAGTTCGCCTACCCCACGCGGCCCGAGGCGCGCGTGCTGCGCGGCCTGCGGCTGCAGGTGCCGGCGGGCGCCACGGTGGCGCTGGTGGGGCCCAGCGGCTGCGGCAAGTCCACGTGCCTGCAGCTCCTGCAGCGCCTCTACGACCCGCTCGCCGGCAGCGTGGTAAGTCCCGCTCTGGAGCCTACGCTCAAAATGGGGCGCATCGAAAATGTCAAAAATTGACTTCTGCTGTTTTTTTGTTTAGAATTTTAAGATGCTGCTTATCTCAACCCCCCGAAATTAGGGGAAACGGGAGGGAGGTCATGAGTTTAGGTCAGTTTTAAGAATTAGATTGATGATCAACATTTCGGTGATGTATTACGCCTTCATCAGAGGTACAAATGATATTAATGCTATCTGAAACAACAATCGTTCAAGTATTTTTTCTTTCCTAATCTTTTAATACATTTACAAATTGTTTAATCTAGTTATATGTGACATAATTTATAATATGTAGGAGACTTACTTGCAGGTGTTAGCCATCGTTCAAAAATGCCACCTCACCATCTTCATTTCACCACACATGTGTAATTTTCGCCTAACTGCTTCATCTTTTTTTCAAATTGTTTATTTTCTATAATGTGTACGTAAATAACTATAAACAGGTCGACTGTTTCATCGATTCCACTAAGTTATCGTCAATTTATTCCCTCGCAATTAAAAGCTCACTTATATTTGTTTTAAAATGATATTATCTATCAGAATATCTTAAAAGAATATGGAAGGCTTCGTTTAAACTTCATTATCTTCAGTTTTAAAGATCGTTTCTTTTGGAAGAATCGTGCAACCTTTAACTCTTTGCGGTCAGATGCATTTGATAATTTTAACTTCCTATGTTGGAAGGTATCTTTAGGATGAAATGGCGTCGATGTCTCTCAGCTCGGAGCTTTCAGGAAAGTGGCACGCCCTACAGGTCGGAGGATATCTCTCAGATGACAGAGTTCAAGAGAACGTTTCTTACATTTCACTTCAGGACGGCACAACCATTTTGTATTTGTATTTATCCATTAATGTCCCGTAAAAGGAAATTGGCTTCCGCGCCGTGAGATCTCGGGGTTCCTAATCGGTCACCCAACCAGGAACCCGCATAACACGAAATCGCTTAACTGTCGTGACTTCACGTAGTTAACGAATTCGGATAGCGACGCAACACCGGTTTCGTGGTCGTGGCCTGACAGGTGAACCATCCCAGCATTCGCCTGGATGACTGGGGGAAACCACGAAACCCCGGTCGAGGAGCCCGGCAAGGGAAATGAACCTGGACCTCCCGAATGCAGAAAACGTGCTTCGCCCTGAGAATCTTTGCTAGCTGGTACTACTATAACGTAGCTTCAACTAAGTGCAATATAGACATATTAGAGGACTTATATATACCGAAAATGCAAAAAATACTTCTGTATACATTAATATTTGTGTTTAAAATAAAACAATTGCCTTGCATTGCATTGAGTTATTTCTAAAATTATACAGTAAAAAAAATTAACTATCAAAGTACGTCAATTTGGTTCGTGATTTTCAAAATTAAAGAAATTATATTGTAGTTATAGCATTTATTATTTAAATATGTAGTTAATTGTGAAAATATATTAAAACAAATAACGAACGAGTTCAATACTTTTTAAAATATAATGTCCGTTGAATAAAATGTTGGATGTCTGCTCCTGAGACCGCGTAACAATGGCCGAGATGACTGAAGTGTGAAGTGACTGAAGTGCGAAGTTGAACTGAAGTGCTTTAATATTTACATTTCAGACATTCCAACGCCTCCTAATATACACACTGCCCTTTTTGCAAATGGTACCGTCACTTTTGCCTGAGATCAGTATCTCAACACTACAAGGAACTTAATTCAGGGACATCTCACAACCATTGAAACGTGGCGTAGAAAGTGGACAATTAAGATAAATCTATGTAAGTCCACATCGAAAGTTTTCACCCTCTGATTTTCAGCCCTCCCACTCCCAGTAAGATTCGACTCTTGTTTTACCAAAATACAATTTTCAGAATTAAATTATTTTAATGATCTCCACCATTTTCCCCCTAGTTTGGTTTTCTCAATTTTCGTCTCCTAACAACTATAATAATACCCAGTGGCGCACTCAAATGTATGAGGGCTCAAAAGACTTCAATCCCTACCCCCCCCAGAAGCTTATGATCGGTGTTCAAGAATATAGCTTTTTATAGTATTCTATACTCCCAAAAGTCATTGAATGAATCATGTGTGAACGTTATAAATGTTAGCTGTAAGTCAACCAATAATAATAAATTTTATATTCAGCTTAAACGAAAAATTCTTTGTAAGGTAATATCAAGTCGCGTGTTCACTACACCTTTACCGCTCCCTCCCTCCAAAACAAGAATCGTGGTTGTGCCTCCGCCAATCCCCCAAATTGAGGCGGGCTGCGCCGTCGAGAGCTGCAGCGTGTGCGCGCGCGTGCGCAGCTGGTGGACGGGCGCGCGACGACGGCGCTGCCGCTGGAGGCGCTGCGCGCGCAGCTGGGCATCGTCTCGCAGGAGCCCGTGCTCTTCGACCGCACCATCGCCGAGAACATCGCCTACGGGGACAACGCGCGCGCCGTGCCCATCGACGAGGTCATCGCCGCCGCCAAGGCCGCCAACATCCACGCCTTCATCGCCGCCCTGCCGCAGGTAAAGGGAATCATCTGCCCTGCGATGCCACTCAACGGAAAGTCAACGTTTCAGAACAACCATCAGGTCGTATTAGTCGCGCAACTTTTCTTAAACGATGACCTTGCCTCCCCCTCTTTGGAACAATGAACAGATGAAGGCAAAAGCTCGCAGCGAGCACTAATGACAACATTTCAAACACATCTTCATTGGCGCGAAATAGAAACAATTTTCTTTTCAAGACGAGAACTTCTATCCGTAATTTTCTCCAAAAAATCTAAAGAAATGACCAAAGCAGATAAAGATCTATTACAGGAGATACCTCGAACAACTGAGAAAGTTAGAACGCAAATTATTGAGAACGTTGCGAAGGCATGACTGATTCTCCAGAGAATGGCATTGCTTTATTAAAACTAGTGGCCGATTTCGTAACTAATACCCCCCACTCTACCCGCATTTCTTCAATCCACCGTCCAAGAAAAGTTGCGCGAGTAATACCATTTGGTGTGTAGTATCCGTTCTATGATACGCTAATGCGGGCATATGTAATTTCGCCCGAACGAGTTACTTACCCGCCTGGGATGCCGGGTCTCCTGCATGCACAGGCCATTTCCCCTTCCCCGCTCTTATTTCTTCTACAACTCCAGAACGGGGTATACACGCGCAAAGTGTCGCGGGGAAGGTAAGTACACAGTGCGTACAAATATCACGACGTTTGGTTCACGACGTTCCTATGGAAACAGGGTGGAGGTCCTTTTCTAGCGTAGAAACGCTCAAACTTTATTTTCGCCAAAACAGTTTCAAAATTTTTCTGTAAACGTTTTGTAAGGTTAGTGCTAATTACACTGTTTAAGACAACACACAATTCAATTTGCTGAATTCTTTTGTTTTTTTTAAAAAAAATACGCAAATTTAATATTGTTTTGAAATATCTCACATGCCGTTAATAAACCTATTTCCAACGATTTGTATTCATTATTGCATTTTTGAAAAGAAGTGCTACAAATGACTTCCAATGAAATTTCTCGAAAATTCAAGTTTTTCTTTGAAGAAATTTCTTTGAAGAGATTTAAATTTTGCATTACAATAACTCATAAAATATATATTCAAACGGCTTCAAATTTTTCAAAGTTTTAAAGTTTCGTTAAGATAGGGTTTTACTTTTCTTTCATATATTTAAAGTAATATTTTGGCTCTACGATTACAAAACCGAAAAATTGCTAAAATTTAAAAGAAAGTTCTTATTGCGACGTTAGATGGCAGCTGGATAGAGGAAGGGGCAAGACCGAAAAACTAGCCCCGACCAAAGGCATTTGAAAACTATTACGAAAAAGTCCGTGCAATTCTGTAGCACATTTAGTTAATACATTATTTCAGATTTTGCTCTATGTCCTTACAAATACAATATATGTGCTCATAGGTGCTTGATGCACCGTTCTCTTATCTAATAAAGATAATCATTTATATAGGACAAATACCTAATAGTACCTATAACAATTTTAAGATATAACTATGCCACGGCAAAACAAAATACCAATAAAATATTCAATACAATGTTTACATGTAAATATGGGTTTGCTGCTGTTATTAAGTTATCTCATGAAACATATTTATTTGCTTATTTACGTGTTCTGTAACCACATTTTCGATTCTTTTTTGAATTTATTAAATTTGGACACTGTTCTAGATCTATTGGTAGTTCATTGTATAATTTAGTAATTAAATAATGTGGTGATCTTTTTTCATACCTATTGTATGTATGCGGGATCATATCTATTTTTCTGAACTCGTGTATTATTTCTGAATTATATAATTCTATTTTTTAAATTAGTTATTATTATTATAGTAACAGATTATATGACAAAAATTGTAGAAACTATTAGGGGCCAAAGTATCAGCACCCTTCTGAAGTTGTTTGATTGTCTATTGTGTTTTTATTATTTATGATAATTTTCAATATTTTGGTTGGCAAATAAGTTGCACTAAGCATATGTTTGAAAATAGTCTCCCCACATATTAATTCCATATCCTACAAGAGTCTCAACCAATGTTTATTCAGGAGAATAATTATCTTGTTTAAATAATCTTTTACAGCCTAGACACAGCCAGATATTATTTTAATTTTGTCAAATAATATATCAGAATGGTTCTCAAATTTTATGTGTGGATCGAATATAACATCTAGATAATTCTTCCTAGATATTCTATGGTGAAATTTAATCTCGCACAATTACAGAGCATAATAAAATATAATAATAGTAATAAAAATAAATAGTAAATTGAGTAACAAGTGTTCCAAATTATCACGCACTCGTGTTGTCTTCACATTTTTAACAGACCGTCGGCGAAATATATTTCGGACGTGCTACGTGATGTATCCCATATTGTTAAAATAAAAAAAATGCTGTTTTGGCAAATAAGGACGGAAGACAATTATGAAAAACCGTCTTTTGCACACGCGTTGTTAAAATGTTATTTTTTTAACAAAATGGAAGCAATAATACCGGGTGGACATTTTTATCGTTCGCCGAAGATTCGGGCCTTGTCGCCCGGGCTGGCGAGGGCACGCTCGCCGAGCGAAGCACTGATTCAACTCCCCTGCTGACATACGGAAACTATCACTGCCCTTAATTACCTTAAAGAAGATACAAAAGCTGTTTCCTTGAGCTTGAATGAATTCTTGGCACTTCTGACACATTTTCTGATTTACCTTTGAAGTAAGATTCGAGAAATTGCTCTTCAATAGAGCTATGGAGCTCTTCTTCGGAATGCGGGTTTTCAGCATACACCTGATCTTTCAAGTACCCCCGAAGGAAAAAGTCACAAGGAGTCAGATCAAGTGATACAGCAGGCAATAACCCACGGCGAATTAATCGATCAAACAATATTTAAAATCATGGATCGAACAGCAGTGTGAGCAGTTGCCGAATCCTGATGAAAGTAACAATAGTGTTTTTTTGTGGTGTAAGTTGGTCGAAAAATAATGTCAATACATGATTTATGCAAACATTAACGGTGGTGTTGAAAATCATTAGGTCCTATAATTCTTGTAAAACTCAGCGCACACTACTCTTCAAGAAGTATATGAGGGATTTCTGCACTCCAATAACGATTGATTTGCCTGTTGTATCCACTCAGATGTAGCTACATTTCATAAAAAAATCCTCGAATATGTTCCGTTGGTGCCAAGAATGCATTTGAACCGAAGAACAGAGCATCTTCTTTGAGATAAGTTCAGGGCAATGATAGTTCCCGTCTGTCAGCAGGGGAGTTGAGTCAGCGATTTGCTGGGCGACCGAGCCCCCGCCTCCCCGAGTTACGTGGCCTGAGTGATTATCACTTCTGATGTGTTAGTAAAAATGCATAGATATTTCGTTTCTGGTTAGTGTATTGTATGTTATTGTCTGAAATTTATGAGTAGAATTGTCTTACTAATTACACTTTATTTGTTATGATTGATTGGGTATAATAAATTGAAATGTGATATTTACAAGGAAACAATATCTTATGGGAAATCATCAAAAGATTCGTTGCGTAAAACAGCTACAAATTACGTGTTTAACATTTTGTATACATTGTAAGATCTCTCAAGGGTCACTGGCCGAAATTTGATGTGTCATGGACAGCCAAAAAACCTGAACTGCCTCGGCGAAAGTCATTATTCACGCTCTCTTTTTGCATCTTAGGTCAGAGGGTTGCGTCAGAGTTGCTTGCTTGTCTCACACATTTTAAACTCTGATCACAAATTTTTGATCAACACTGTTTTTCACTTCATCAAAAGCTTTCTTTTAGTGTGAAAATAATTAGAAAATCGGTTTCTTTGCTTTCGTCTGACTGTGAGTCGGGCATCATTACATTCGCTAAATGTAACGCACCAACTCTAGTGATCTTCACTTCCTCAAGGTAGAAAGTGTGAACAAACGAATTGTCATGAAAATAAATCTCAATCATTTCACATAATTTGTGGTCTTATTTAAATGTAGATTTGTCGTAGTAAGTGTGGAAATTAAGGTGTGGAGGCCCCCCAGCTTTGAACGGTGTGCCAAAAATGAACGGTGTGCCATTGACTCATGATAAGGTAACAAAAATTTTAGGTCTTTCAATTCAGACAAACCTTAAATAGAACGTCCACTTAAATGAATTAAACACTAAATTAAGTTATTTATCCTACACTTTCAAAATTCTTTCAAATTCAGCCAGCCTCCACACTGCTCGTTGTGTATATTTCGCGAATATTCATTCCCGCTTGAGATATGGCATAATATTCTGGGGAAATACATCTTATAGCTCCAATACTTTTAGATTACCGAAAAGGATTGTTCGAATAATAAGCAAATCCCATCCACGTGATTCTTGTAAGCATCTCTTTATTAATCTAGGTATTTTAACTTTACCTTCTCTCTTCATATATGAATAAGTGTTTTTCGTCAAAAATGAGGGCGGGAATATATTTTCAGCAAACACCGTTGTCTATAACTACAACAATCGACGCAGTAATCATATTCATCAGGTGACAGTATCAACAGCTCACTACAAAACATTCACATATAATACATGTACATTATTTCACTACGCCTTGAGAGATGACATTAAAGGGTAAATTCGATACAAAAGTTTAAGTCCCAAGTAAAATATTTTCTACTGCACAAGTGTTTGTGTAGAATTAGGGACGATACCAAGCATCCAAAAGGAAAGTAATATTAATTTTAACAATGACATTTAATGTATTTTATACCATTTGGATTGTTTAATTGTAAAGAACCTGTAACAAGTATTGTACTTCAGCTTCTGGGACAATGACCCCCCTCATCTCGATCAGGTTTTCGTCCAGTTTCCCTGAACCTTGAGCAAATGTTGAGATGGCACCTTGTTTTGCTTCTGGACTAAATGAAACTTCAAATTAACTTCTCCCCATCGCTCTTCACACACAGTTTTTAGCTGTTTTTGAAGTAAATAAATACATTGTTATTAGCTTGTAAATTAAATTCTACTATCATTATGGGTTGTAAAACTGCACAATGAGACGGAGTCTTCAGGTGCAACCCCGAGACTTCGCGAAGGAGCAAGTTGGATATGTCGCGGACAACCTTGTGTCAAATTGCAGATTCTTTTGCTATAAAATGATCAACATTGTGATGTACCGTAGTAGCGTAAAGACGAAAGCAAATAAAGCTCTTGACTTTCTGAAATTGTGGGTGTGTTCACGTATCGAAACATCTCCTGCCTTGAACATTGTTAACTCGCGCCTTTAAGGCCCTTCGCTTTTCAATGCGGCTACGATAGCTAGATCTCAAATAATACAAACTGTTTACATTATGAAAGTGAATGTAAAACAGGCAATAGCTCACCAGGGGTAAGATTCGTTTTCAATAGTTGCTTCGATATCATTTTTAGAACTATTCTTCATTATTTCATTGTTCTATTACACGTTATACTTACACCGTTACACGTTAGACACCACGTACAACATGTAAACAGTCACATTATGTTGCTCTCAGTTCACTTGCTTGATATTTTTGAACTATGGATAAGCTCAGAATATCTTAAGCATATTATACCATCTGAGTATACTTCAAAGCCATTTTGTATTTTTTTTGTAAAAAACACTTTTTTGGATAGCTGTTTGTATTGCAACTACGCTGTTTGAAAGTAAGCTTTCTAAATCTTACCAATCACACATGCGGTTGTAACTTTTATATAATAGATTTGTGTTATATGTAGCACTAATATGAACCTTGGTGAATTACATTTAAATTTACTAAACGCAAACACTACATAATGTGCAAGTGCAGCATTATTTTGTTGCGCAGTTTCATTCGTGGATATATATTATTCAACTGATAGTACTGAACCAGACATTTTGAGATCGTGGGGAAGGTAAGTAGCTTAGTAGAGTTCGCACTGCGTCCAGAGCAACTTTAGCGAGATTTAAAAGTTAAGGTTGAACAAATTGCTCCGGAAAGATGGTACATCACTGAATACTTGGCCTATGGCTTTTCAAGAAGTCAGTTCACAGTCATTGCCCCAAATCATTGCAAAAAATTATACATTAAAATAAAATAAGAGAGATTTAAAATTGACAAGTGAGATTGAAGTTAAGCATTTTAAATCGAAAGGATCTTAAATTCGTAACCATGTTTACTTAAGAGTATAGTAATTGTATGAACTTCCTACGTTCAAGTTAGGAGGTTTAACAGATATTCTTATGTGTTAGAGGAGCTGTCTGCCCGTAAGCGAAAATTATTAACTACTATAAACCTCTTATAACTCTTAACCGCTATAAAGAGGCTTTTTAATTTATTTCACATGATTGCTATATACAAAATAACCCAATAATTAATAAAAAACAACATATAATAAAAAAGGAAAGAAGTTTCTATTCAAACTAAGACCTGCCTATTGTTAAAAGTGTTTATATAAAACAAAACTTAAAAAGACAATTAACACAAATAGTAAAGACTAAAAGTATAATTCTAATCTTGGTTGTATGAGAGAACAAATGTTGAAAACATTTACGTACGTAGTGGCCACTATTCTACGCCGACGTCGCTTCCTGGATTTGGAGGGGAAATCAGAGCGTGGTCAGGGGAAATGGCTCGTGCTCGCCGGAGCGCTGGGCTTCTCAGGCGACCAAATAGCTTCCCGTGCTGGCGCGGTTTGACATGCCTGTAATAAGCATTTTGGTACCGCTATACATTCACGAGAAAGAGAGAGAGTCTACCTTCTCAACCCATCCTCCTCCACAACAGCGTGTACCCTTGTTCGGCGTGTGCGCAGGGCTACGAGACGCGGCTGGGCGCGAAGGGCACGCAGCTGTCGGGCGGGCAGAAGCAGCGCGTCGCCATCGCGCGCGCCCTGGTGCGCAACCCGCGCATCCTGCTGCTGGACGAGGCCACGTCGGCGCTCGACAGCCAGAGCGAGAAGGTAAGCGGCTTTGCGTGCGGGAAGAGGGCGACGGAGAGAGCTCAGGATAACAACTGTTAAGTTACTACCTGTACGTTACTACCAGAGACAGGGGACCAACGCTGGTAATTACCTCCACAGTGTGGAGGTTGGATGTGTTATTGATTATTTCGTGTTTCCAACCTCGGCAACGGCTTGGTAGACATTATTCCCGAAAGCGTAGTGCGAGTTTTAATCTCGCGAGGTAGTGGCTTTCTTCTTCCGCTGGTTGGCGAGATCAGGAGCCGTCCTACCCATCTGTTAAAGGGGTTATTCCTCAACCAGATATCTTCCTCCAGCAGGGCACCGCCGCAGCCGGGCAAGCTCTAAGCTCCGAAATGGTTTCCCGACAAGTGTGGTATTTTAGAGCACGTAAGTGTGTGTACAAGTAAGGGGAAATCAAGGAACAAAAAAAAGGAAGGTGAAATCAACCGAGGCCAGTGGCCCGTTTCTTAAGCCACGGAAAACACGTAGCAGAGCGGCCAGCCGCTAGAATTCTCCTCCTTTCCGAAGCTAAATTAGACCTAGGTTGAATAGTGTCGAAAATTCTGCCGCCGTCGAAATTCTAACTACAGAACCTCCCGGTCAGAGGAACTGCAGTGACATCATAGAACGTGTGAACAAACGTACTGTAATTGTAGTAAAACATTGTCATTTCACAAAATATAATATCTTATTCAATTCTACATTTGTTGCGTTAGGTGTGGAACTGCAGTGGCGCTGACAGGAGGTCGTAGGAATCGACCGTGGGGGGTTCTTCAGTTCTAGCTAGACACAGTAATAGGTAGATAGCTCTAGACTGAATTCAACTGATTTCTATCGATACTTTTCCCTGGCTTCTCCGATCATGAACAGGCGAATTGTGGAGCAGTGCCTTCACACACGAGCCTTCCTCTTTCTTGCCCCTTCCTCTTCCCTTACGCACACATACTTCCCTTTCATGCATTTTATTATCACATGTCGGGAGATCTGTCAGGCCGACAGCTGGAGGAATCCTTGATTCTTGCCATGATAAAGGTGTAATAAAATCCGAAAGCGATACTTCAGGATGGAATTCGTTCAAGATATCGGTGACTAGTGAGGAAATGCAATTGAGTAGCACATAAACGTGCATCCTCAAAATAACACGCTGGCCTTAAACGAATATATAAAATTTAGATTTTGAATTGAAAATGTGACCACTGCATAGGATATTCCTAACTATTCAAAAATATTGTTAGGAATGGGTGTGTTAATTGATAAGAATAGATTATTTCAAGAAGTAGATGAGATGCGTACACGAAGGGGGACTGACCTTCGATTTACAGAAACCCAATTACACTTTACGATGCTGCGACGAAGCAGGTTTAACTGTTGAAATAGAGACTCACGCTTTAAATTAATTGTATTTTAAACCATATACGCTGACTGCTTTAAAAAATTATAATTTGGTTTTGGTTTAAAACAAGTATGCTCATAAAAATGGCGATGTTTTTTTGATAAAATGCAATATATTTTTCTAGAATGTTCTATGATAGATACTACAATACATTTCATCGTTATATGCATTAGTAAACTGTCCGCACTCTGCTAATTTGTCTTCTCAACTTTTCGCTATGATAACTTTGAACTTAACTACTCAAAAAAAAACAACCCTCCATTCTGTTCCCCGTTTTCATTACAGGTGGTGCAGCAAGCGCTGGACGAAGCTCAGGAGGGCCGAACATGCATTGTTATTGCACACCGCTTGGCCACGGTACAACAAGCAGACCTCATATGTGTTGTCAACAACGGTGTCATCGCGGAAACGGGAACGCATTCACAACTGTTGGCACGTAAAGGACTTTATTATTTCATGCATCGGCGAGATAATCACATGTCTGATGTGTGAAGGAGATTGGGTCACCGTCCTGGCACTGATCATTACTTAATTTAGCGTTTTAAAATAACAATATTGATTATTATTAAATATTTTATTCTCGCACATGGTCCTTTTAGAGAAAACGTGAATTGTAACTGTCTAGATTTTCAACTAATTGGAGCAATATGTTGTGAAAAACATTTATTTTTTAAAATAAATTATACCTATCAATTTTGTGCATTTTATTAATATAAATGTATTCCTTTTATGTGGCAGCATCGAGATAGAAGTAGAGAATTTGCGAAAGGAAATAGTAAATCTATTATGAATCTCAATTGCTTTGCTCGAGTGTAAGTATCTCATAGAGTTTCATATCTGTCTCGACATGTATTAAAAACCTAATAATTACAAAACACTCGTGATTCGAAATATGCATCGTGAAACACATTTTGAGAGAGAGAGAGAGAGAGAGAGAGAGAGAGAGAGAGAGAGAGAGAGAGAGAGAGAGAGAGAGATAGAGAGAGAGAGAGGGAAAGGGAGAGAGAGTTAAGGTACGTAAAATAATTATTGTTTTTAAAATGACTTACGACATCGAAATGTCGATGTCGCTTATGAATGAGGCAATAAGGAGAATACGATGAGTAACGAGACAAGAAGTTTATTTTTGAAGTATTACACTGCGCACGTATGGTGTAGTCAGTTTTTCATAATTATTGTATTTTAGATAATCAGTGCAACCCTGAAGTTGTCATCACATCCAAAACAGTATTCAAGTTATGAATATTCCCCCAACAGTTTTTAATTTCTTTTATACATAAGATGATTGATTAATTACTAGAAGTTCTGGCTCGTCAAGGAATAAGTCGTTAGTCTCGTAAGTGTAGTGCATGTTTTTTACTCACGAAGGGACGGTGATATGACCCCACTGGATGGCGAGATTCGGTACAGATCTCCTGTCGGCTAGCAGAGGTTTTCTCCAAACGCATCTCTCACCAGCGGGGACCTGCCCCAGCCGGGAAAAGCTCTAACCTCCCGATCAGTCTTCCGGCATGAATGGTAGTATAGTGCATGTAAGTGTAAGTGTGTGTAAGGGGTGAGAATAGGACAAGGAAAGGGGAGGAAAGATCGCGCGTCGACTGGCCCGTTTATTAGGAACTGCTCCGGCATTCACCACGTATTGTCCGGAGAAACCACGGAAAACTACCAATCAGAGCAGCCCATCGCTAGAATTTTTCTGTAGACTACGACAGAACTCGACCTAGTTATGTGGCTACTTAAACCAAGAATGCTCATACAATTGTGAACCAGCATAAGTGACATTTTATAAATTCTGTAATATCACTGTAATCAAAGTAGTGGTACTTGGTTTTATCATTGAAACAACGGCATTTCAATTGTTCATTAAAACCACGAAAATACATTGGCACTGACATATAGCCGAAAATGAACACGTTTTTCTCGGAATTCATGTCACTAATACCGCTCTGGTTTCCATCTATTTAATTGCTTGTTACTTTCACATCGTATGATATTTAAATTTCATTGACAAAATAATAGTATATTCGACGACGCCTTTCCGCCCGTTGTACCTTTCATTGTACAAACTTACGAAAACACTGTTATGTGCGCTACATCTACACTTCACTTTTAAGATTCATGAGCATGGTACTGAGGATGGTGACAAAGGATGTGGAATACTAGAGCCCACTACGAGTAAGTTAACTATATCTGAAAAAAATTGGAATATCTTCCTGAATTGTCAAGTTAGACTCTAACTGGAAAAGACCTTCCATGCTCCGAATACATAAACTTTATAAAAATTATCTCTCATGTTTCAGCTTACAAACATTCTTCGATTGAAACTGTGAAAGTATAAATCCAGTTCCGAATGTTCGAAAAGAAAAATTTCATACTCTAATTCTTCACAGCTTCATTTCATTCTCTAACTTTCCACAGCAGAATAAACTCAGCAGGTA